GAGATGGAGGCAGAGATGGGGACATGGAGAAGGGGAGCAGCTGAGGACTCTAGAGTCATGGAAAGAGAGGGACAAAGAGATAGTGGCCAGAAGGCAGATCTGCAGAATGTGCCCTTTGGTGGTATAAAAATTATTATATATGCCCGAGTGTTTAAAATAAAAAAAGAGCTAAAATGAATAGAGAGAAATACTGTTATCTGATGGTACATGATGGAGGGGATTGTAATCATTGTGATGAAACAAGTTGTATGATTTGTTGAATGTAAAACTGATGATCTGTCTTGTAAACGTTCACTCAATCCACAATAAAAACTTAAAAAAAAAAAAAAGTTCATGGAAATATGGAATGAAAAGGTAATGGAATTTTTCACAAGCTTTTTGAAGCCCCCTTGTATATTACTGCTAGCTGCCACAGGAGTCAGTTTCAACTCATGTCAACCCTGTGCACATGGGTCCTACCTTCCTATGATGGATGTGGATGGATCATTGCAGTTCACTTGGTTTTCACTGGCTGGTTTTTGGAAACAGATCACTAGACCTTTCTTCCTGCTCTGGCTTCATCGAGAAGCTCTGCTAAAACCTATTCAGTATCATGGTGGTGGTGGTGGTGTGCCGAGGAGTTGGTTCCAACTCATAGCAATTCCATATAGGGGTTGTGAGGCTGTAAATATTTATGGGAGTAGAAAGCCTCATCTATCTCCCACAAAACAGCTGAAAATTTCTAACTGCTGACTTTGAGGTTAAAAGCTTGACTCATGACCATATGCTACCAGAGTTCCTTATTCCGTATCATAGCAACATGCAAACTACTACCAAGAGACAAGTGAAGTACATTGGCTGGGAACTGAACCTAGGTCCCCAGTATTGTTGTTGTTAAGTGTCATCGGGTTGGTCTTGACTCATAACGATCCTGTATAGGGTTTCCTAGGAGTGTCTTGTGAGTTTGAACTACCAACCTTGCAGTTCAACCCGGCCTTGTGATTGAGTGCTTATCCTACAGTGAGTGCTACATAAGAACTCCAGTATGGAAGGCAAGAATTCTACCACTGAATTACTCAAAAAATAAAATCATTGAGTTGAAATAGACTTATGGGGAGACACATGTGCATCAAAATAGAACTGTATTCTATCGAGTTTTCAATGACTGATTTTATATAAATAGATAGCTAGACATTTTTTCCTGAAGAGTCTCTGGGTGGACTCACACTGCTAACCTTCAATGAACAGTTCATAAGGTTGGAAGCCCAGCTAACTGTGCTACCCAGGGACTCTAACTGAACTACCACAGGCCCTTATATACATGTTTTTGTTGGGCACTATTCAATAGATTCCAACTCAGAGCAACTCTCTATGACAGAATGTAACTGCCTCATAGAGTTTTCTTGGCCCGTAATCTTTATGGAGGCAGATCCTTAAGTTTTTCTCTTAGGGAGCAACTTGGTAGTTATAAAGCAACAACCCTTTAGTTAGTACTGAGCACTTTTAACTGTTGCAACACTAGGGTTCCTCCATATATACACTCTTAATATTTGTCACATAGTAAGTGTGAGCTCTCATCACTTCTTGTAATTGTTTTATTACTACTCTGGACAGGAAAAGCTTCAACAGAGAAATATAGAGGAGTCTAGACACCACTGTTGGAAACATTACACTGAAATTTAAGAAATGATATAATTTGCTATATTAAATTTCCTACTGAGGCAAAATACAGGCATAGTAACTAGCTCAAGATCATCCAGAAAAAATGTGACAGGACCAATATTAAATCCAGGCTTCCTGGCCCCAGATTCCATGCTTGGAAGCACTATACTCTAGTACAGTCCTTTACCCCAGAAAGCTTAGGTCAAGTCAGAGTTTGGGGGTCAGGGAGAAAACTGAACTTCTTTTCTTGGAAGACTTTTGAAATATCATCTTTCTTATTTGAAAACATTTTCTCAGTGCTAAGTCATTGAGTCCAAGAAGTTGTTCATTAATGTACAGGTAGTTCATGTGATCAGTTCGTGGCCTATGATTGGGAGTCCTGCCAGTCCTGAAAGCTCCCCAATGGCATCAGGGCTGTAGAGGTCACTGGTTCTCAGGATACAGCTCTGAGGAGGTAAGTGGTAAGGTCTGGCAGCATCTCTGTGTTCAGACTCCACACTTTTAGCTCCATTCTAGGCTGTGAATCAGGCTGCGAACCTCGAGGTCAGCAGTTCGAAACTACCAGCTGTTCTGCGGGAAAAAGATGAGGCTTTCTGCTCCTGTAAAGATTTACAGCCTCGGAAACCCTGTACAGGGTTACTATGAGTCAGAACAGACTTCACAGCACATAACAACAACTAGGCTGAACTGAAGGCATCTGGTGGTGGGAATGCCACCTGGTGATCATAACCCAAACTGAGAGTCTTTGCAGTCTAGACACCTGGGTAGTTGAGTTAGGAAGAGGAAAGGACTCCAGAACTTCATGCTTTCAATGAACAATGGGGTGGGTGGGGAGGCTGGTTCCTTCAATACTGCTCAGTCTCTTAATGTCCAGGTTCCCTGGTGTATGTGTCCACACTATCTGGGTAACTGAGCACTTTTATCCCACAACTTTATATTCACTGAGTCCACCTGAACTTTTTCTCCCCCTGGAGCTTAATTACTGGAATCTCATTCCTCAATTCTGGATTCTTAAATCCATTTGTGGACTTGATTTATCTTTTCTAATCTTGAGTGGGATTTTCAGTTTTCCTGTACCTGAAACTGAATTCTTGTTTTCTGCCTTCCTCCACCTTGTCCTGTTGCCCAGGTGCCCCAATCACATACATGTACTCTGCGGTACACCCACTTCTTTCCCCGCAATCTTTTCCACCCTGGGCATAGATGCCCTTGTCCCTCTCTTGAATTCTGTGAGAGCATCCTGTCATCTACTAACTTCCCCTGGAACACCCTAAAGATGGTCCAGTCTCCAATCAGGAACTGGTAGAGTTCTCTGACTTAGTGAGGTGTAAACCTGTAGCCACAACCCTGTCCTTACAGTTATGAGCAGAGGAGGGCTGTGCGAGCATCACACTAGCATCAGTTAATTCCCTAACCTTCCCAATTTGTAAAATGTAGAGATTAAATTGAGCAGGACTTTGGCCTATGCCAGAGAAAGGTAACTGAATAGCTCCAGGAACAGACTATCTGGACCCTCAGGTGTGCCTGGGGAAGAAAGAAGGGTAGCATAGCCTCCACTTACTCCCCCTAATTGCGTACTCAAATCCTCACAGCAGCCCTAATCCACCCTAATGGACTGCAAGCCGGCTCAGGCCCTAAGGACCAGCCTACTAATCCCTGCACTGGAAGCACACCCCCTGTCTCAGGACACCATGTGCTCTCTTGGCATCAGAGAGCCAAATCCTAGGCACCAGACAAGGATAATGGTCCAACGTATCTTCTTGCCAAGCGCTCTCATCTTGGTCCCATGATGAGATGAGAAACTCAGGAACAGAGACCCTCATATGGTGTGAGTCAGAGTCACAGCTCAAATCATTACTTCAAACTGAGTCCAGGAAGACTAATATATTTACAACAGTACCAGAAGAACAATCTCTTAGGGTTCCATCATCAAATACAAGAGAGGTGGAAGCTGAAAGATAAACTGACACTGCTTTCTCCGTCCATCAAAGGTGGTGTGGCCTGGCAGGTGGGTGAAAATTTTGATGCTACCACATACCAATGTGTGACTGTGGCCAAGTTACTTAACTTGTTGACTCCCCTATTTTCCCATCGGCAAAATGGGGATGTTGATATACGTGTCTTTTTTTGTAGTGTTGTTGAGAGTATGTATATAAAGCAGATGTCTATTATTAAACTTGGAGTCCTGGTGTGGCACTGTAGGATAAGCACTGGGCTGCTAACTGCAAAGAAACTCTATACAGGGTCGCTGTGAGCCAAAAAAAAATTTGAAGGCACTTAAAAACATTATTAAGATCTGCTTTCTGGTGGGTCCTTCCTGTTCAGCCTAGGGCTCCTTCCACTGGTTCAGGTTACTTGGCTCACTCAGTCTTTATTCTTTTCTCCCTCTACTCCTGGGATCACTGAAGGATTTTGCAAGGAGAACGTTTCTTTACACATACAATAGGCAGGTGGAATCAGTACTGGTGACTAGGAAAGAGAGAGACAAAGAAAGAAAGAAACTGTCACAGAGAGACAGAGGCAAGGAGAGACAGGAAGAGAAAAGATAAGGAAAAGAACGAAAGAGGAGACAGAGGAAGAGGAAGAGAGAAATCGATAGAAATAGAAGGACAAAGAGAGTGTGCATGTCAGAGACAGCCCCTGAGAGAGACGGTCATAGAAGAATTGGACATGCATCCAAAGACAGGAAAAAGAAAAACAACAACAACAACAAAGGGATTCTGAGACTAAAAGAGGGAGGAAAAAGAGACGTGAAGAGAGTGAGAGGGAGTCAGAGCAAGGACAGCAGTTCACAGCACTCCAATACACCGGAGGGATCTCCGCCCTTAGGGCGGTCTGTCATGCCCTCCCTAGAATCCGTAAATCCTCTCTCGCTTCTGCTGTATGCTCCGCATCTGTCCCAGACTAGTACTGAATCAACAGCCGCTGACTTACGTGAGTGTGGCCACGGAGGGTACGCTGAGGATGCACGCCTGAAGAAGAGAGGCCCAGTGCCCTGCGCTGTCGGAAAGGGGCAAGAGTGGGGGGTGGAGGACGTGGTCAGGAGGGGAACCTGTGCAATAAGGTTCAGCACTGGTCTGGGAACTCTGGGTGAAGGGCCCGGAGGGCTGGCAGAGTGGCTATCCCATTTAGTCACCAGAGCGCTTGGCAAACATCTCAGCCCCTGGGCTCCCGCCCTTTGCCACCGACTTTTGCCAAGCTCTGGAAGCGTTCAACTTCTTTCTCTTGTGCGCAGGTCGCCAGTCATGACCAGCCCCCGTCACGCCCCGCGCACGCTGCTCCTGGCGCTGCTACAGACACTGGTATGGCTGGAGCCCGCTGGCCTAACACCAACGACGGGCTCCGTGCGCCTGACCGGCGGCCTCACATTGGGTGGCCTATTTCCCGTGCACGCTCGCGGTGCCGAGGGCAGGGCGTGTGGCCAGCTCAAGAAAGAGCAGGGCGTGCACCGACTCGAGGCCATGCTGTATGCGCTGGACGGCGTCAACGCAGACCCGGAGCTGCTGCCCGGCGTGCGTCTGGGCGCGCTGCTTCTCGACACCTGTTCGCGGGACACATACGCGCTGGAGCAGGCGCTCAGCTTTGTGCAGGCGCTGATCCGCGGCCGTGGCGATGGAGACCAGGCGGATGTGCTCTGCCCTAGGGGTGACCCTCCGCTGCGCGCCGCGCCCCCTGAGCGCGTGGTGGCTGTGGTGGGCGCTTCGGCCAGCTCGGTCTCTATCATGGTTGCCAATGTGCTGCGCCTGTTTTCGGTGAGGCCTGCGGGGCAGCGTTCAGTTTCTATCATCTTTTGTCAGTCCGCGCCCTTGGAGTAACTGATCTCTTTCTCCCTTTACCTTATTCTGGAAAGGTTTCTATTTTGTTGTTAAGTGCTGTCGAGTTGAGTAGGTCAATCTTTGAACAGTCCATCTTGCGGTTCAAACCGACCTTGTGGTCCAGTGCTTATCCTACAGCGCCACACCAGTAGTCTATTTATTCACTCTAATTTACAGAGCTACAAAGCCCCTTCGGAGTCTTGGTGTGGTGCTGTAGGTAAATGCGGCAGACTGCAAACTCGTTTGAACTGCAAGCTCTCGGTGGTTCAAGCTCACCAGCTGCTCCTTGGAAACCCTATACAGGGTTGCTATGGGTCGGAACCGACTAGATGGCACTTAGCAACAACAACATGGATGGGAACCAACTCGATGGCACTTAACAACAACAAAGCAGCTTCAAAGACTTTCTCTTCATCAGGCCAGACACAGGCCTGATCAAATCCAACTACTCCCTCCCCCAGACTTCCTCATTTGCTTTGACCCCACTCTCCCAGGTTATTGTTTGTTTAGGCAGGTAGTCCCTTGTGTGAATTAAGAAGTAAATGCAAATCCAGCATCTGTTATTAGGTGGAACTGCCCTGGGCCCTGTGGAGTGCTCTGGGTGGGAGGAGCTTCCGAGACACACCTCTTTGCCACGCCTGGGTAGGCAGGCCTGCAAGATGCCATATTTCTTCTCCTTCTTTACTGATCATCATTTAAATTCAATTTTACAATGTTTGACTTTAAACCATCTCTCAAGAGCCCTCTGAAATGGCGACAAACGCATTTATTTTCTATTGTTCTTATCTCCAGCACCCTGCCAAGCTTTCCTCTACCAGACTTACCTGGGCCACCTTTGTTGCTCTCATCTTTAGGAAACTGTTCTCTGTGAGGCAGGCAGGTTCCTTGCAAACTTGAGGGGAAGGGGTGTGTGTGTGTGTGTGTGTGTGTGAGAGAGAGAGAGAGAGATAGAGAGAGAGAGAGAGAGAGAGAGAGAGAGAGAGAGAGAGAATTATCTAGGTCATAGAGATCAAGGATTGGGGGCTTTTGACTTTAGAGTTTTGAGATTTACCAGATAGCTTTACTGGAGCTTCCTCTGTCCTTCTAACTCTTTATGGAGGAAGGAAGGCATTGCTTCTCTCTGACTAAAGAAGGGCACATCTGTTAAAAAGTTCAGTGTCTCTTTTGTTTCTATACCATATATTCTGGATAGAGATGTTTTCTGGGTACTTCTCTATCATCTGCATCCATTTAATCTCTCTCTCTCCCCACAGTGTTCTCTGCATTGGTTCAAGGCATACCGACACTTTTTAGTTTGCACAGAGAGAGACTGTGGCTGTCCAGTTTGTGTATGAGCATCTGTATGTATAATGTAGTGAGGTGTCAGTTTGGTTTTCACCATCTGTAGGATCTGTCCCAACTCTGCCTGAAGAACCTGGTTTCTGTCACTCTCCTTTTCTCTGCCCATTTTGGTCTAATGCATGAATTTCACATTCAAGGGCTAGGTGGGACTGTGAGTGAAGCAGGACCCACTGTTGTCAGGCTCAACCCAGATCAGGACTCCAAAAAAGATAAGGTTCTAGAAGTCAAACTTTCTGTTTTCATACATTGCCTACTAATTCAAAAATTAAAACTATAACACGATGCTCAAAACACAGTCATGTACCAAATTTGGCTTCTTGGGATCATTTTATGATTTCCGTTCTAGAAGGAACTATGAGGGTCTTGAGTTCATTTCTCAGCCATACCACCATGGTTCCAGGTATTTGAATTGACTTGTCCTAGCTTCAGTTTCATCTGTGAAATGGAGGTTAAACCTGGGTGAGAAGGTGGCTGTTAAACTGAAGTGTTGTGGAGTACCAAGTGTAACTACAGCATCCACTAATCACAATATAGCCAGTAAGCTTTTGTCTGCCTCCTTTCTCCTGAGTTTCCCTCTCTTTGACTTTCTCTTTTGGTCTTTCTCCATAGTGTCTTCCTGTCTCTCTCTCTCTCCCTTGCTCTCCCACTTTCTTCCTCCCTGTCCCTATTCTCTTTCATCTTTCCTATATGTTGTTGTTAAGTGCCCTCGAGTTGATTCTGACCCATAGTGGTCCTGTATAGGGTTTCCAAGGAGCAGCTGGAGAACTTGAACTACCGACCTTGCAGTTCAAATGGCTTTGCAGGCTGGCACATTAACCCACAGCGCCACACCAGGACTGCATCTTTCTTGTATAGATTTTCTACATTTTCTGCCTTGCTTCAAACAATCCTATCTTCCCTAGACCAGCCCCAGGCCCCTCCTTCCAGAACTTTCTTCCAACCTTCACTCCAGCTTATTCCTGCTCACTGTATGATCTGTGTGAGAATGATTGTCTTTTAAGTGGTTCTGATTCACCTCCTCTCTTGCCAGCCACTTCCTCAGTCCTCTGTTGCCATTTGTCACTGTCCTTTCACACTTGTTCCTCACCTTGCTCCCAGATCAGCTCAGTCCATAATCCTAGCTATTAATCACTAGAATGCACACAGATAAACCCAGTTTCAAACAAGCCTCTCCATAGGGTCAGACACAGCCTTGAATTAGATATTTCCGTCTAGCTCCCTTATCTACTCTGACCCCTCCTGGGGCTGCCACCGGTACAGACTGTCCTTTGTGTGATTGGAAAAATACAATTTCCTCTGGGTCTCACAAAACTCCCCTTTCCCCAGGAGGATGCAGCTGAATTGGCTACAGATTGGACTTCAGCTCCTTCTTCCCCCTTGCCTAAGTGTTCATGTTCAGGACACACCTTATACAATTGTATGTGGTGACCTTGTCCTTTTCCCCTAGTCCTGCACATCTTCCATATTCAACCAGACTCCTTCACAAAATGCTGAGCTTCCCCCATACCTTCTGGTCTCTCCATGTGATCACTCCAACTTACCCCCTGATACCTACTCCAAACCTTCCATTCACCTATCATGTTCTGGGTCCCCAGAGTCCTCCCTTCCTAGGGTCACTACTAACCCTCCATCCACAGCCCAGGTATCGGTCTCTTTCGCCTGACTCCAGATACCCCAGATCAGCTATGCCTCCACAGCCCCAGAACTCAGTGATTCCACACGCTATGATTTCTTCTCCCGAGTGGTGCCACCAGACTCCTACCAAGCCCAGGCCATGGTGGACATTGTGAGAGCATTGGGATGGAACTATGTGTCCACACTGGCTTCTGAGGGCAACTACGGCGAGAGTGGGGTTGAGGCCTTTGTGCAGATTTCTCGTGAAGCTGGTGAGTTGTGTGTGACTGATGTCAGAGGCGCCAAGAAACCTACAAGGGTGTGGGCCAAGGGCCATTGGATGGGGCAGGAAGGGTGGGGGCACTGGTCTGTGGTAGCCCTTGGGGCTGTTGTTATCTGGATGGGTCCCTGTGGGCAGTCCTTGCTGCTTGGCAGACAAACAGTGCTTTGTGTGAAAGGAAAGATGCCCCTTCCTTTGGTTAACTCAATCCCGAGCCATGTGGTGAGGCAAGTGGAGCCCAGGCTAGATTCCACCCCACTTACCCCTTACCAGGTCCTGAGCACTGATGATAAGCTATGTAGTCATCCATATTGGGGCCTAAGGCCTGATTTGGGTACCTCCAACATCCAGGGGGTGTCTGCATTGCACAGTCCATCAAGATTCCCAGGGAACCAAAGCCAGGAGAATTCAATAAAGTGATCAGGAGACTTATGGAGACACCCAATGCCCGAGGCATTATCATCTTTGCCAATGAGGATGATATCAGGTGGGACAGCTCTGCTCTGGGGGAAGACTCTACCTATATACCCTGCCTTCCACTCTTAAATACCCAGCACTATATGCACATACGTCTCCTTCCCCTTTCCTCTGCTGCCAATCATTTCACCTAACTCCCCAGAATGATCTCAGCCTATTTGGGGTGGAGATGCCCTAGCCCAACCAGAGAAACTGGCATTACTACTTGCCTGTTTATATAATCCAGAATGAGGGGTCGGAGGATTGAGCTTTTCTCTATGCAGAGAACAAGCTGTTGGGACTGAGTCCAGGCAGTAGAGAGGATGTCAGCAGAAGACATTGGGATGGGATGAACCCTGGGTAATACAGAAGGTGTCAGCAGAAGGAGTTGAGGGGACTGGGAGACTAGCAGTACAGAGGCCCTGCCAAAGTGGAGTATCTTGTTCTAGCTGGGAAGTGCTAGAGGGAGGGTGTGGGAATGGGGAAACCTCTGAGTGCCCTTAGTCTTCTCCAAGGAACTCTTCTAAAGACCGCGGTGAAATGGGTTACACTGGACAAAGCAAGTGGGCTGACCTGGGCCAGAACCTAGGTTGGCATTTTACTGAGAAGTGTCCTAAACATCCTGCACCTCGTTTTTCCTGATAAAGATGGTCTTCTGAGTGATATGGGAAGGGGCAGTTGGATAAAGAAGAATGGGAAGTGGCCAGGGGTAAATTGAAGGATTATTGTAGGCCTCCCTCACCCTTAGCCCTGTTCTACCAGTAGGGTCCTGGAAGCTGCACGCCAGGCCAACCTGACCGACCACTTCCTGTGGGTCGGCTCAGACAGCTGGGGAGCCAAGACTGCACCTATACTGAACCTAGAGGATGTGGCCATGGGGGCCATCACCATCCTGCCCAAAAGGGCCTCTATTGATGGTGAGTGTCAGGGATGGCTCCCACATTCTGCCTCCCATCCCTACTTGTTCTTCCCTCAAATTTCCTCTTGGGAGTACTCATTTTCCCATCTGTATAATTAGTTCAGTGTTAGAGAATTTTCACCTTCCAGGTGAAAGACCTGGGTTTAATTCCCAGTCAGTGTCCCCCATGCACAGCTATCAACTGTCAGAGGAGGCTTGTATGCTGCTATGATACTGAACAGGTTTTAGCAATGTTTCCAGACTAAGATGGACTAGTAAGAAAGATCTGGCAATCTACTTCTGAAAATCAGCCAGTAAAAACCCTATTGAACACAATGGTCCAATCTGAAATAGATCAAAGGGATGGAGCAGGATCAGGCAGTATTTTGTACTGTTGCACACAGGGGTACCATGAATAGGAGACCTCCTAGATAGCAGCTAATCACAACAACATATAACTGGTAACACAATTCAAGTCCCTTATAGGATTCCCAGATTTTAAAAGTCTGAGGTTCTGTGAATATCTTCCTCAGAGCATTGTTTAAAGAGGATGACATAAGAATAGTGAGTGAAGAAATGCTTATATATTTTTAAAATTCCATGACTATATACTCATTCTATCAAAGACATGAATTTAGTCTGAAGAGGAAGAAGAGAAAAACATGCTGGCGTTCTGTTGATGAGGGTGCTGAAGCTAGTACTGCCTCCCTGGATTCCTCCCTATGAAAGGTCACAGGATAACCATCTCCTTCCCTCTCTCTTCTCAGGGTTTGACCAGTACTTCATGACCCGCTCTCTGGAGAACAACCGCAGGAACATCTGGTTTGCTGAGTTCTGGGAAGAGAACTTTAACTGCAAACTGACCAGCTCAGGTCAGTCAGATGATTCCACTCGCAAATGCACAGGTGAGTGTTGCCCAGGGTGGCAAGGGTGGTTGGGTAGGGAAAAAGTGGAAGCCAGCTCAGGCACATGGGGGTGAGGCATACCTCCTGGCTCCTGGTCTCAGGAGTGGTGCATCCCTAGGACAGGAGAGGAACGCATCGGCCAGGACTCCACCTATGAGCAGGAGGGGAAGGTGCAGTTTGTGATTGATGCAGTGTATGCCATTGCTCATGCCCTCCACAGCATGCACCAAGCTCTCTGCCCTGGGCACACAGGACTGTGCCCAGCTATGGAGCCCACTGATGGGCGAACACTACTGCAATATATTCGAGCTGTCCGTTTCAACGGTAAGTGGATATTAACATCCATATGGGAGAGGGGACAGACTCTGGGTGAGATTTCTGTGCAGGACCTAAGAGGACTCAGGACTGAAAGGACAGAAGAGGCAGAATGGCATGGCGGGCACCAAGGACTGAAGGTTGGAGAACTGAGCTCTGATCCCCACTTTAAAAAAAATTTTAGTTGTAGCAAAATATATATACCATAAGATTTTCCATTTTAGTTATATACAAGTGTACAATCCAGTGTCATTAATTATATTCACTATGGTGTGCAACCATCACAACTATTGATTTCCAATTTTTTTTCATCACCCCAAATAGAAACTCATCACTCCTTAAGCAGGAACTCCCTATTCCCACCTCCTAGCCCTTAGTAAGCAATATCCTATTTTCTGTCACTATGCATTTGCCTGGTGTGGTGCTGTAGGAGAAGCACTGAACTGCTAACTGCAAGGTTGGCAATTCAAACCCAACATCCACTCCTTGGAGTCCTGGTGTTGTGCTGTAGGATAAGCACTGGACCACAAGGTCGGTTTGAACCATAAGGTCGGTGGTTCAAATTCATGAACCACTCCTTGGAGGGGTTATACAAGGTCTTATACAGGGTACTATGAGTTGGAACCGACTAGACACCACTAACAACAACAACCACTCCTTGAAAACCCTATACAGGAGGGTCACTATGAATCGGAACTGACTTGCCAGCGCTCAATGACAGCAATGCATTTGTCTATTCTAGATATCTCATGTAACTAGGATTACATAAAATTTGTCCTTTTATGTCTAGCTTTTTTTCTCTCAGCATAATGTTTTCAATTTATCCATGCTATTTATGCATGTCTCAGAATCTCGTTGCTTGTTTTGAGAATTCTGGTCCCTGCTTAGCACTCCTCCCTACTCAGGCCTTCAGCACTCCAATTTGTTCACATAACTCCCCTCCATTGTGTAGGACTGAGAGACATCTGGACTCTTGAGCTATGTTGGGACACAGTGATGACTGCTCAAAGATTGACCCATAATATGAATGACCTGCTCACTCTGAGTCCCAGACTTCAAAATGCTGCCCCAGCTAGGCTGAGAGCTTCTTGAGCAGAGGGGCATGTCTGACACTTCGGTATCTCCTAGCAGAGGATCTGGCCTATAGTCAGGGCTCAAAATAATGCCTTTGGAAAAGAAATGAATAGACTCAAGCTGTGTTCATATTTGTGGGGAGGTTTGATGCTTATTAATTAAAACCAGTTGCCATGGAGTTGACTCCTGCTCATGGAAACTGCATGTGTGTCTGAGTAGAACTGTGCTCCACAGGGTTTTTAATGACTGATTATCAGAAATAGATTGCCACAGCTTTCTTCTGGGTGGACTCAAACCTCTAGCCTTTTGGTTAGCGGACAAGTGCTTAACTATTTGCTCCACCACCCCCCCCATCTTTTATAGACTTAAAAGCTCGGTTCCTTCTTCAAATAAGCACTGCACACCTTCTCTCTGCCAAGCTCTTTTGATATTTCCCAGATCAGCATAAAGCTGTTTTCAAACTCTTACCAGTTTCATGCTATCATGAAAATGTTGGTCTGAGTTTGAAGTCATTTCCAGCCTGAGCAAAGTCCATCTTACTTGCCCGGGATACTGGAAAGCCCATATGACCTCTCTAGGAGGTGACTGTGATTGGCAAGAGGACCAGCTGAGTGATGGGGTCTCCCCCAGGCAGTGCAGGCACCCCTGTGATGTTTAATGAGAAGGGAGATGCACCGGGACGCTACGACATCTTCCAGTACCAAGTGGTCAATGGCAGTACAAGCAGCAGCGGATACCAGGCTGTGGGCCAGTGGGCAGAGATCCTCAGGCTGGATGTGAGTAAGAATCCTGGCATCGAAAGATGGATCCGCCATTTTGGAGTGGGGAATCATAGGCTTGTATCTCACTTGTCCCAGATGGAAACACTTCAGTGGTCAGGTGACTCCACCGAGGTGCCCCAGTCTCAGTGCAGCCTCCCTTGTGGACCAGGTGAGCGGAAAAAGATGGTGAAGGGCGTCCCCTGCTGCTGGCACTGCGAGGCATGTGATGGATACCGCTTTCAGGTGGATGAGTTCACATGTGAGGCCTGTCCTGGGGACATGCGACCCACTCCCAACCACACAGGCTGCCACCCCATACCTGTGGTACGCTTCACCTGGTCCTCCCCCTGGGCAGCCCTTCCCCTTCTTCTGGCTGTGCTGGGCATCGTGGCGACCACCACAGTGGTGGTCATGTTTGTGCTGCACAACAACACACCTATTGTCCGGGCTTCTGGCCGTGAGCTCAGCTACATCCTGCTCACAGGTATTTTCCTCATTTATGTTATCACCTTCCTCATGGTGGCTGAGCCAGGAGCTGCCATCTGTGCTGCCCGAAGACTTTTCCTTGGCCTTGGTACCACCCTCAGCTACTCTGCCTTGCTCACTAAGACCAACCGCATCTATAGGATCTTTGAGCAGGGGAAGCGCTCGGTCACGCCGCCACCCTTCATCAGCCCCACTTCACAGCTTGTCATTACCTTCAGCCTCACATCTGTGCAGGTGAGTCCTCAAGAACCCTCTGGTGGTAGGGTGGGTAGATTAGAGGCTGGGGGTGGGATGAATCAATCGAAAGCTGTCATAACAAAGTACCACAAATTGGGTGCCTTAAAATAATAGAAATGTATTGCCTCACAGTTCTAGAGGCCAGTCTAAAATCAGGGTGATAGTAGACCCATACTCCCTTCAAAGGTACTAGCAAAAGCTCTTTTCTTGTCTTTCTCAGCTTCTGATAGCCCAGGCAGTCCTTGGCTTGTAGATGCATCACTCCATCTCTGCCTCTGTTCTTACATGACTATCTTCCTTTTGCTTTGTGTCTGTCTCCTCTTTTATAAGGACACCAATTATATTTGGTTGCTGTTGTTAGGTGCTGTCAAGTTGATTCCGACTCAGCATGACCCTATGTATAACAGAACAAATCACTGCCCGGTCCTGTGCCATCCTCACAATATATTGGATTAGGACTCACCTTTACTCTAAGTGACCATAGGTTAACTTAAATGAACCGATAACATCTTCAAAGACTCTGTTTCCAAACAAGGTCATATTCACAGGCTCAGGGTTTAGAACTTTAACATATGTTTTTGAAGGACACAGTTAAATTCATAACACAATTCAATCCATAACTCACTCAACTTTAATCATAGAAGTAGTATTTCTAGTCACTCTTTTCTATTTTGGCACCCATATTATAATACAATCAGGACCAGAGTATAGAGTCCTATAGTTTTCCTGAATGAGAAAAAAATTATTGAAAAAAAACCATTCTACCTCTTCCATGACCTGCTAGTTCCCATTGAGTTCTTGAAAGAAATTCTGTCAGTAAAGTGGGAAACAGGCTGTTGAGTCAGCTCCGACCCACAGTGACCCCACATCTAACAGAAGAAAACACTGCCTTGTCCTGTGCCATTTTCACAATTGGTGTTACACTTGAGACCATTGTTTCTGCCACTCTGCTAGTCCATCTCTCTGGGGAAGGGGAGGTCTCCTTTTTTCACTGTCCCTCCACTTTAGCAAGCATTATGTTCTTCTCCAAAGTATGAGAGACAAAGTCTGCCCATACTGGCTATCAAGGAGCATTCTAGCTGTACTTTTCCAAAACAGATCTATTTGTTCTTTTGGCAGTCCATAGTACTTTTAATATTCTCCTACAACACCGTAATTCAAATGCATCTATTCTTCTATAGTCTGTCCAACTTTCACATGTACATGAGGTTATTGAAAATACCATGGCTTGGATCATGTGCACCTGAGTCCTCAAAATAACGTCTTTTTTCTGTAAAGAGGTCTTGTGCAGCAGATTTGTCTAATACAATGTATCATTTGATTTATTGACTGCTGATTCTATGAGTGTTGATGGATGGTCCAAGCAAAATGAAGTCTTTGACAACTTCAATCTTTTCTCCATTTATCTTGATGTTGTTTGTTGATCCAATAGTGAGGATTTTTGGTTTTCTTTACATTGAAGCACAACCCATACCAAAGGCTGTGGTCTTTGATCTCCATCAATGCATTTTTTAAATGTTCCACTTTCAGTAAGCAAGATTGTATCATCTGCATATTATAGGTTGTTAATGAGTCTTCCTCCAATCCTGATGCCACATTTTTCTTCATATAAATCAGCTTCTCAAATGATTTGTTTAGCATAGAGAATGAATAAATATGGTGAAATAATACAACTCTGTCGCACACCTTTCCTAATTTTAAACCATTCAGTGTTCCCTTGTTCTGTTCAAACAACTGCCTCTTGGTTTATGTACAGGTTCCTCATGAGCACAATTAAATGTTCTGGAATATTCATTCTCCACAATGTTGTATGTTGTTGTTGTTGTTAGGTGCCATCGAGTTGGAACCAACTCATAGTGACCCTATGCACAGCAGAACGAAACAATGTACAATCCTGGGCCAACCTCACTACTGCTGCCACACTTGAGTCCATCAATGCTGCCACCGGGCCAAGCCATCTTGTTGCGGGTCTTCCTCTTTTTCTCTGACCCTCTACCTTACCAAGCATGATATACTTCTCCAGAGACTGCTTTCTCCTGACAATATGTCCAGAGTATGAGAGGTGAAGTTTAGCCATCTTGGCCTCCAAGGAGCACTCTGGCTGCACTTCCTCCAAGACAGATCTATTGGTTCTTTTGGCAGCTTATGGCACTTTTAGTATTCTCCTCCAACACCATAATTCAAAGGCATCAATTCTTCTACGATCTTCCTTATTCACTGTCCAGCTTTCACATCCATATGAGGTTATTGAAAATACCATGGCTTGGGTCAGACGCACCTTAGTCCTCAAGCTGACATCAGACGATGTGAGTTGTATAGCTTGTCATAATCCACACAATGGAAAGTCTTTGAGTAGTCAATAAAGCACAGATAAACATCTTTCTGGTAATCTCTATTTTTTGCCAAGATTCATCTGATGTCAGCAATGATATCCCTGAATTCACATTCTCATCTGAATCTGGCTTGAACCTCTGGCAGTTCTCTGTCAGTGTAACGTTGAAGCTGCTTTTGTATTATCTTTAGCAAAAGTTTACTTGTTTGCGATATTAATGATACTGTCTGATGATTTCTACATTCTGTTGGGTCACCTCTTTTTGGAATAGGCACAAATATGGATGTCTTCCAATCAGTTGGCCAGGTAGTTCTCTTCCAAATTTCTTGGCATAGATGAGTGAGTGCCTCCAGTGTTGTATCAGTTTGTTGAAAGATTTAAATTTGTATTCCTTCAATTCCTGGTACTTTGTTCTTTGCCAATGCCTTCAATTCTGCTTGGACTTCTTCATTCAGTATCATTGGCTCTTGGTCATATGCTACCTCTTGAAATGTTTGAAAACTGACCACTTCTTTTTGGTACAGTGACTCTATCTATGCATTCTTTCAATCTTCTTTTGATGCTTTCTGCATCATGCAATATTTTGCCCAGAGCATCCTTCAGCATTACAAATTGAGGCTCAAGTTTTATTCCCCTCAGTTCTTTTAGCTTGAGAAATACTGAGCATATTCTTCCCTTTTGGTTCGATAAGTTCAGACCTTGGTATATTTCATTATAATATTTGACTTTGTCTTCTCAAGCTGCCCTTTGAAATTTTCTGTTCAGCTCTTTTACCTCTTCATTTCTTCCATTTGCTTTAGCATCTCCATACTGGAGAGCAAGTTTCAGAGTCTCTTCTGACATCCATTTTGGTCTTTTCTTTCTTTCTTTTTTTAATTTGATAAAATGTAATGGGAGCTGGCCAGTCAAATAATTGTTTTCTTTGGGGGATAAGTGGGGTGGCCTTTTTACTATGTACACTACACTCTATAAAGATTTATAACAAACATGACTTACATTTCTTAAAAGTTATCTCCCAAAGTAGACTAGGACAATACAGAAAGAGACCCTTTAAGAGAAGTATGGAATGAATTTTAAATCTACACGATGATGAAGAAAATCAGGGCAAGAATGTTCAGCAGAGACAACTGCATTGATCACTACTGTGCACTAAAGTTAACCTGACAAACTATGTGCTCTTTCCCAAACACCAGAGAAAAGAGATCGTGAAACTCCTGCAATCCAGTCGGCACAGATGAACTTCTTTTGAATGAGTTTCAAATGTTTTGATGGTGTCATTATTTCACCATATTAACAACTGTGATACATTTTTTTAAACTTGTCATAAATTGGGGGAGGGGATACCTTCAGCTCCCCACTTTTTTAAAGAATCCAGTCCTGTGATTGATTTGGGTTCTAAAAAAGAAAGTCTGCCAAAGCAAATAAGAATCCTGTTAGTTTTATTACGAGGCACAGACAGTTTTGTACTTCAAGACAAATCTTGATATATGTTCTTTTTCATTATGAATGCAATGCCATAATTTTTCGATTTGTCATTCACAGCACAGTTAACTATGTATTTGATTTATTGACCATGATTCAAAATGGTCAATACTAGTCTATTTCAGCTTACTAATGCCTAGAATATTGATGTTTATGTGTTCCAGGGTCTGCACTTCCCCTGGTCAGACCCAGCATATTCTCAGGAGGCACCTCACTACTCCCATGCCTAAGATATTGTCTACCCTTAACCACAAGATGGAGATCCTTAGCCTATAGTCACTGTTCTGCAATCTTCTCAACACCCTGGTGTCATCTACCTTGAACATCCCACATTATACCCCCCTTCCAAGATATGTTGTTGTTGTTGTTAGGTGCCATCGAGTTGGTACTGACCCATAGCGACCTTATGCACAGCAGAACAAAACACTGCCCGATCCTGGGCCAACCTCACTACTATTGCCATGCTTGAGTCCATCGGTGCTGCCACTTGGCCAATCCATCTCATTGGAGGTCTTCTTCTTTTTCTCTGACCCTCCACCTTACCAAACATGATATACTTCTCCAGTGACTGGTCTCTCCTGACAATATGTCCGAAATATGAGAAATGAAGTTTGGCCATCTTGGCATCTAAGGAGCACTCTGGCTGCACTTCTTCCAAAACGGATTTATTGGTTCTTTTGGCAGCCCATGGTACTTTCAATATTCTCCTCCAACATCATAACTCAAAAGCATCAAAAGCATCAAGATATAATGGACCCCTTAAAAGATGCAGTTCTTCAACCTTTTGATACGTTTTCTGCCAATAGGATGGATGCTATATAGCATTAGAGTGTTTTTATTTGGCTACTGATGTGGCATATAGGATAAACACTGGACTGCAAACCTCAAGCTGCTTCTCCAAAACCCTGCATTGGGTCACTATGAGTCAAAATTGACTCAATGTCACTGAACAAAAGCACACTCATTTGCTAGTACTACTGGCTTTTGGAATCTCCTCTTCTATGAATCGCTTGGTCCCATTCTAAATAGAATCGTATTGTTGCTGTGGGTTAATGCGGCTAAACTGCAAAGTCATTTGAATTGCAAGGTTGGAGGTTGAAGCTCACCAGCTGCTCCTTGGAAACCCTATACAGGGTCACTATGGATTGGAACCGACTCGACGGCACTTAAGAACAACAACATCAAATCCTAAATATTGAATGATGCAGAAAACATCAAAAGAAGATGGAAGACATACACAGAGTCACTGTATCAAAAAAAAAAAAAGGTTGATGTTCAATAATTTCAAGAGGTGTAGTATATGATCAAGACCTAATGATAAGGAAGAAGCCCAAGGTGTACTGACAGGACTGGCAAGGAACAAGATTCTGGGAATTGATGGAATACAAATTGAAATCTTTCAACAAACTGATACAACACTGGAGGCACTTACTCACTATGCCAAGAAATTTGGAAGACAGCTACCTGGCCAACTGATTGGAAGAGATCTATATTTATGCCCATTCCAAAGAACATGGAAATCATCAGACAACCTCATTAATATTGTATGCAAGTAAAATTTTGCTAAAGATAATTCAAAAACTGCTGCAACAGTACATTGACATGGAACTACCAGAGGTTCAAGTCAGATTCAATGAGGATGTGGAACGAGGGATATCATTACTGACATCAGATAAATCTTGGCTAAAAGCAGAGAATACCAGAAAGATATTTACCTGTGCTTTATTGACTATGATAAGGCTTTCAATTGTTTGGACAACATTTCAGAGAATGTGTATTCCAGAACACTAAATTGAGGAGCCTGTTCATAGACCAAGAGACAGTTGTTCAAACAGGACAAGGCACAATGAATGGTTTAAAATTAGGAAAGATGTAAGCAGGTTTATAGTCTTTCAGCATATTTATTTAATCAGTATGCTAAGGAAGTAACTTAAGAAATTGTATTATATAAAGAAAAATATGGCTTCAGGATTGGAGGGAGACTTATTAACAACCTGCAAAATGCAGATGACACAACCTTGCTTGTTGAAAGTAAAGAGGACTTAAAATACTTATTGATGAAGATCAAAGACCACAGCCTTTGGTATGGGTTGCACCTCATTGAAAAGAAAAAAAAAAATCCTCATCACTGGACCAATAAATAACGTCAAGATAAATGAAGAAAATATTGAAGGTGTGCCTGACCCAAGCTATGGTATTTGCAACAACCTCAAATGCATGTGAAAGTTGGACAAGGAATAATGATGACCATAGAAGAATTGATGCATCTGAATTATGGTGTTGGAGGAGAATATTAGAAGCATTATGGACTGCCTAAAAAAACAAACAAATCTATATTGGAAGAAGGGCAGCCAGAATGCTCCTTAGAAGCCAGAATGGCCAGACTTCATCTCTCTTACTTTGGACATACTATCAGGAGTAACCAGTCCCGGAGATGCCCGTCATGCTTCGTAAAGTGGAGGGGCAGTGAAAAAGAGGTCTCCCTGTAACACGACGGATTAATACAGTGGCAGAAGCAATGGGGCTCAAGTGTATTGGTGATTGTGAGTTTGATGCAGGAGTGTTTCGTTTTGTCGTGCATAGAGTCACTATGAGTAAGTGCCAACTGGATGGCATCTAACAACAACAAAAACATTCTTTTATTATTTTCTATGGTTTTGTAGGAATTCATTACATGTATTGGATGCTAATTTTTTAATCACTTAGATGGGTTACAAAATAGATAGTAGACTTTTTTTTTTTGGCTACTTCTGTGCACTAGTGCTGGGTTTTTAATTTTTTATGAGGAGAGATTATGACGGTTTCCATTCTCTATATAGAAAAACATAGACTAGAGAGAAAATGTGTTTAAGGTCATACAATCCGACTTTAGTCACTTACACCTGGAAGGTGCTCCATCAATGGTAGTGGTAACAGAATACAAGAAACAGACATCCAGTTGCCCCATACCCAACCAGTTCTGATGTTGTCAACATGTACCTCCATTACAGCTTCTTTTCTCCACTAGGATGTAATTGAGAGCTCTGCTCAAGCAATCTCCCTCACCTGGACTTCTCTCCCTTCTTTCAGGTGGTTCTTTCAGACCTGAGAATCTCACTTAGTAGGCCCAAGGTTTTGAGGGGAATTCTATGCTGGCAGAGACCTAGATCAGGGAGTGGAGTAGACTTGTTCCTGGAAAAGGTCATGCATGTATGGTGTTGATTCCTGCAGGTGGTGGGCGTAGTGGCATGGCTGGGGGCCCAGCCTCCACACAGTGTGATTGACTATGAAGAGCAGCGGACAGTGGACCCAGAACAGGCCAGAGGGGTGCTCAAGTGCGACATGTCGGATCTGTCTCTGATCGGCTGCTTGGGCTACAGCCTACTGCTCATGGTTACGTGCACTGTGTATGCCATCAAAGCCCGTGGTGTGCCTGAGACCTTTAATGAAGCCAAGCCCATTGGTTTCACCATGTACACCACCTGCATCATCTGGCTTGCTTTTGTACCTATATTCTTTGGCACTGCCCAGTCAGCTGAAAAGGTAATCTGGGGTTCTCAGGAGGCTTTGTCACCTCATTTGTTTCCTGCCTGTCCACTGAAGGGCCTGATTTTTTCTAAGAACTGAGCCATTCTTTTGGATGCTCAATTCTTTGACTATTTGCTTGATTGACTCTCATTTGTGCAGTTAAGTCCTTGTTCACGCATTGGTTTTCCAATATTCCTCTGCTTCCTCATTCATTCATCCCCCTCTTCCTTTGTTCACTCATTCATTGGTTGATCTGATCTTCTGCCCACCCATTGTTTTTATACTTTTTCATTTCTTCATATACTTTATCTGATAATCCAGTAATCCATTGCCTCATTTGCCTGACCATTTATTTAGTCATTCATTCATGTATATAGAGCATTTATTCATTTATTACATCATCTGTTTACCCATTGCTCTTTTATTCAATCTATTAATTCATTCATGTATATATTTAAAAATACGTTCATTCCCTCATTAACATGCCCTAGATTATTTTAGGTTTAAGATGTTTTCCCCAGGTCTCTTGTTCTGTTCATTTACTCCTCCTCTCCTTCAATTATTTGTCCACTCAGTTTCATGTCACTCAGTCTTTTTACTTTCTACACCAGAGGCATATAGTAACCACCAGGCTCTTTATGCCATCAGGCTTTTGCCTATTTGGCTGTCTTTTCCTAAGTGTTCATTGTTATTCACCCTTCCCATCTGACCTAAACTCACCTCTAGTCTGTACAGCAGTAGAAATATAGGGCTTGTGGAGAGCAGAAGGCTGAAACCCACATTATCCCTTCCTCCATCATTTAGATCTATATCCAGACAACTACACTGACTGTGTCCTTGAGCCTTAGTGCATCGGTGTCCCTTTGCATGCTCTACGTCCCCAAAACCTACGTCATCCTCTTCCACCCAGAGCAGAATGTGCAGAAGCGGAAGCGAAGCCTCAAAGCAACCTCTACAGTCGTAGCCCCACCCAAGGGTAAAGGCACAGAGAACAAGTAGTGGAGAAACAGGATTGGCTGCTTCCTCTCCTCTTCACTTTCCTCCACTTCACAGTTAAAGTTGTAAAGAACCAAAGTGAACCATTACTCCCGGGAGTCCAGGATGGTCACACCTTCTATGGAAAGGACTGGCCCTCAGAAAAAAACTGGACTCATGCTCCACATTTTATTCCTACTTTTATCTGCTGTTGTCTTCACTCTTCCTCACTGCTACCTATGATGAGAAATCATTACTACTAGAGGGTCCCATCACTAGAAGGGGACTAAATGTACGCTCTCTAGTCTGAAGATCATATGATGAAGCCCTGCACTTGGCCAGTTTGAGTGAGACTTCCCCTCAATCATTACCTTAATCTGGGTTGACTGAAAAATGAATGAGTAGATCCCCAAATAAAACATAGGGTTGATATGGGGAAGAAGCAATTTTAATAAGAGAACTGTGGTTTTCTATCCTGGACACAGTAACTTTTGTTATGTTGTTGTTAAGTGTGGTGGAGTTGGTTCCAACTCAAAGTGATCCTGTATAGGGCTTCCGATGAGTGGCTGGTGAGTTTGAACCACCGATTTTGCCGTTCAAACTGACCCTATGGTTGAGTGCTTATCCTACAAGCATCACACCAGGACTCTGGATAAAAATTTGGCTGGCACAGATGCTTGGCCCTTAGGTAATAGCCTTATAAGAAGAGGATGAGCCTGCTGATCAGGGAGCAAGACTAGAAACTAGGGTACACTCCCATGAGGTTACATGCATGAAGGCATTTCCCTTGGGATCATTTCCTATAGACTCTGGAGAGTATTACATTTAAAGTACAGCTTCCTCTTTCTCTTTCCCATGTGTACTTTTGTCTTAGTTTCAAATTTCTGCCATAACAAAAACTACAAATGAATCATTTTAAGGAACAGAAATTTATTTGTTCAAAATTCTAAAGGCTAGAAGTAGAAACTCAAGTCAACAGCTCTGGGGGAAAGCCCTTCTTTGTCTATTTCAGCTTCTACTTGTTATTCCTGAACTTGTAGATACATCTGCAGTGTGTGTGTCTTCAGATGGCATCTTCCCCACGGAGTCTATTCTGCTTTTTCACAAAATAAGATTTAAAAAATAATTAGGTTAAGACTACACTCAGTTTATTAACAGTATGACCTCATTAAAATAAAAGAAAACCCCAGTGTTTTAGTTATCTAGTGCTGCTGTAACAAAAAATGTCATAAATAGATGGTTTTAACAAATGAATTTAGTTTCTCACAGTTTGTTGCTGTTGTTCAGTGCCATCAAGTCAGATCCGACCTGTAATGACCCTGTATAGGGTTTCTGAGGAGCAGCTGGTGAGCTTGAACCACTGACCTTGCAGTTCAAACTGACTTTGCAGTCTAGCGTATTAACCCACAGTGCCACACCAGGACTCCTCACAGTTTAGGAGGCTAGAAGCCTAAATTCAGGGCACTAGCTCTAGGGGAAGACTGTCTCAGCTCTGGGGGCAGGTCCGGGACTCTTCAGCTTGTTTCCTGGTTCCTTGGAAATCTCCATGTGGCTTGGCACCAATATTTCCCTATCTCTGCTCTCTCACTTGCTTGTTTTAATCTTTTTTGTATCTCAAAACACATTGACTCAAGACACACCCTACACTAATCCTGCTTCATTAACATAAAAAGATAGCCCATTCCTAAATAGGATTATAATCACAGGCATAATAAATTAGTGTTTACAATGCATATCATTTGGGGACCACAATTTAATTCATAAATAACCTATCACATCATTCCCCAAATCTTATATTAGCTCCAAGTTCAAACTCCCAACTTCTGAATCATCTAATCAAACATGAGTGAAACTTTAGGCATATTCCATCCTGTAACAAAATGCCTCTTCATCTGTAAACCTGTGAAATCTATACTACAAATTGTCTGTTTCTAAAATACAGTGATGGATCAGGCACAAGGTAGACATTTCCATTACAAATGGGATAAGTTGGAGGGAAATTGGACAATTCCTTTACAACTGGGATAAATTGGAAGGAAAGAAGGGATAACAGGCACCAAGCAAGTTCCAAAACCAGCAGAACAAATTACATTAACTCTCAACCTTGGAAAACAAAGGGGTTTTCCCCCTCTAAGACCATCCAGACAATCACCCTGCTCTCCAGACTTGGGGTATTTGCCATGGTATCTGGATTCTGGGTGTGGTCTCCTGTTTTCCTTTCTGTGTCTCCTTAGTCTAAGCTTATAGGTTTTCTTCTTGAAAAAAATTAAGCCACAATATTCCTTCGAAGCAAGGATATGTTATCAGGAGTGTCTGATGAGTTTGTTAACTTGACTGTTTTAATTTTTCAGTATAAATTTTGTAGTATTTAACTAACTTTGAAGGTTAATCACACTTCATAAACATAAAGACTCTCCCCATACAAATTCTCTGATGCACCGTAATTTTTGAACTTGAGAGTAGGAATTTGGAGTTCTGGTGTGGCACTGTGGGGAAAACACTGTACCACAAGGCCCATAGGGTCGGCGGTTCAAACTCACAAGCCACTCCTGAGAAACCCTAACTAAGGTTCTTATGAGTCAGAACCAGTTCGATGGCACTTAACAAGATTAATAAGACATCTCCCCAGAATAGATTTTTGCTGTATAAATTCTTCTTCTTCACATTTGTTAAAGTCCTACAGTTATTTCCTGGTTTGAATCATAAAGTTTCATATATGGACGAGTGTTTTTCTTAACTGATGATTTCTTAGGGCTTCTCTCATTGTGTGTTTCCTGATGAATAAAGAGATGTGTTTTGTTTTTTGTTTATTCACTTCCATTTTCGCCTTTAGCAAGATGTTCTTTTTTTGTTGAAGATTTTCCTTTCAGTACTATATAGGGTTTACATCTATATGAATTCTGAGCAATTTTTGTCTTATAAACTTTCTCTTGTTCAGTCTGCTTGTAAGTTGTCTCTGTAGCACGAACCAGCTAATGTACAGTGGGGCTATTTTTTATTACTATGTTGTTGTTGTTGTTGTTGTTAAGTGCAATTGAGTCAGTTCCGACCCATAACTACTCTGTACAGGATTTCCGAGGAGTACCTGGCGGATTTGAACTACTGACTTTGCAGTTCAAACTGACCTTTCAGTCTAGCACATTATCATGAAGTGCCACACCAGGACTCATTGTTATGAGGGCCCTTCAAAGAGTTAGCTTCTAATTCCATTTTTTCATGAATTTTTGAAGCCCCCTCATATTTAAGCCATTCATAATGATTTTCTCCTTTTGGAATTCTCTAATGTACATAAAGATATGATTTCTAGAGACATGTTTTTCCACATTTAATACATAATAAGATTTCTTCCTTTGATAATTATTTTTGATGTTAAGTGTAGATTGACAACTCCCTGAAGGTTTTCCCACAATTTTTGCATTCATAGTTTTTAATTTTATGGTCTCCACATGAAAATTTTTTAAAAAAATTTATTGTCTTATTCATGTGTCTCACAGTATGAGTTCTCAGATATACAGTGAGTTAACTGTTAGTTGAAACCTTTTATGTATATACGTACATTGTTGTTGTATGTGCCGTTGTGTTAGTTCCGACTCAGCAACCTTGTATAGGGTTTCTGAGGAGCAGCTAGTGAGCTTGAGTCGCCAACCTTGCAGTTCAAACAGCTTTACAGTCTGGCACATCAACCCACAGCGCCACACCAGGACTCCTATATACATATATATATATGTATGAAGGACTTCAACAAGTTCAGGGAGTTAAAAAAAAAAATGGAATTTTCCCACAAACTCTTTGTTAAGTCCCGTTGACTCAGTTCTGACTCATAGTGACCCTGTATAGGGTTTCCAAGGCTGTAAATTTTTGTGGGAGCAGAAAATCTCATCTTTCTCATGTATATATATGTATGTTTGTGTGATGGAAGAAAGACAGCCAGAATGCTCCTTGGACGCCAGGATGGCCAGACTTCATCTTTCATACTTTGGACATATTTTCAGGAGGGACCAGTCCCTGGAGAAGGACACCATGTTTGGTAAAATGGAGGGTCAGAGCAAAAAGGAAAACTCCCAATGAGATGGATTGGCACAGTGGCAGCAACAATGGGCACAAATGTAATGATTGTGAAGTTGGTGCAGGACCAAGCAGTGTTTCATTCTGTTGTGCATATGGTCACTATGAGTCTGTACTGACTTGATGGTACTTAACAACCACTATAGAGGTGGTTCTTTTGAGGTGGTTCTGACTCTTAGTGACCCTGCATATTGCTGTTATTTGCCATTGAGTTAGTTCTGACTATAGTGACCCTATGCATAACAGAATGAGCTGCTGCCCAGTCCTGCACCAGCCTCACAATCATTGTTATGCTTGAGCCCATTGTTACTGCCACTGTGTCAGTTCATCTCATTGGGGTCTTCCTCTTTTTCACTCACCTTTCACTTTACCAATCATGATGTCCTTCTCCAGGAACTGTGCCCTCCTGAAAATAAGTCTGAAGTATGAGAGACAAAGTCTGGCCATCCTGGCTTCTAAGGAGCACTCTGGCTATACTTCTTCCAAATATATATATATATATATGAATTCCTGGTGTGGTGCTAGACTGCAAGGTGAGTTTGAATCACAAAAATGGCTCGTCAAGCTCACCAGCCTCTCCTCAGAAACCCTATACAGGGTCTCTATGAGTTAGAGCCGACTCAACAGCACTTAGCAATATTGTGCCATCAAGTCGTTTCTGAATCATAGCAACCCTGTATAAGGTTTCTGAGGAGTGGTTGGAGAGTTCAAACCACCAACCTTACAGTTCAAACTGACCTCGAGGTCTAGTGCTTATCCTATAGTGCCACACCAGGACCCCATACATGGAGTCCTGGTGTAGGGACTGGTATAAGGACTGCTACATAGTTGGTTTGAACTGCAGGGTCAGTGGTTCAAGCTCACGAGTCACTCCCCAGAAGCCCTATATAGGGTTGCTAGGAGATGGAACTCACTCAAGGACACTTAACAACAGTGTATATATACACATATACATACAT